TCACTAGCCCCTGTATTTGTGGTCAAGCATTGACACTTGGTGAGGTTTAGTGGAACGTCCCATTTCCGTGCCCAGTTTTGTACTGCTAACACGTCAAGTTCTATATCTACTCCCGCTATCTTGACGTCATCGGCAAACATAAAGATGGGGTTTGTAAGCCCACGAGCTAGGTCGTTGATGAAGATGAGGAAGAGCAGAGGGCCGAGCACCGAGCCTTGTGGCACCCCACTTGTTACACCTTCCGGTTTTGAAACATGGTTCCCCACCTTAACACTAAAGGTTCGCCCTGCTAAGAAACTACTTATCCATTGTCTTGCCTTTCCAACAATTCCCATGGACTGCAGTTTGACGTCCAGAAATCTGTGGTTCACGGAATCAAATGCCTTGCTGAAGTCCAAGTAACAGACCGCAATCGATTGCCCTTCGTCTAGACGCTTGGTTACCTCATCGAGGAGCAGCAGGAGATTCGTCAGACAGGATCGCCCTGCCACAAACCCATGCTGAGCATTTGATATGATGTTGTGTTGAACCAAATGCCTAGAGATCTGCTTCCTGACTATTCGCTCCAGGCACTTACACAGTACTGAAGTCAAGCTAACCGGCCGGTAATTTTCCGCCTTTTGCCGGGGTCCACTCTTGTAAATGCCTACCACTGTTGCTCTCCTCCAGTCTCCCGGCACAATTCCCTCTCTAAGTGACGTTTCATACAGCTTCGTCACCGGAGCCTTCAGGACCTCGGCCAGAGGCTGAACGATTGCTGGATGAATCCCGTCTGGACCTGCTGCTTTGTTTCTATTCAAAGTTTGGAACTCCGCGTACACTTCTTCTTCTCCTACAGTAAGTTCGGGTATTGGAGGCGCCTGTGGGCCCTCCATTCTTTCCTCCAAACTATTTTCTGGTCGATATATGCTCTTGAAGAATTCCAAGAGCGTGTCAGCCTTGTCTTCGTCGTTTAGAGCTAGTCGTCCCTGTGCTCCTTCCAAAGTTGCTACGCTCTTTCTCATACGTTTGTGAGATTGTACGTAGGCGTAGAATCGCTTTGGGTTTGTGCGGACCGACGCCGCTAACCGACGCTCGAAAGCATATTTCTCCACTCTTTGGATCTCTTGAGCACTGTTCCTAGCCATCTTATAGCTATTCCATGCCCCCTGAGTTCTGTACAGCTTGTACGCCGCCCATCGTTGCCTACGAATAACTATGGCCTTGCGGACCTTTGACTTCCACCATGGGGGTAGACTTCTACTGCTTGCCACCATCAGGGGTGCGAACTCATCTGTAAGTTCGAGTAGCCCCATCTTGATGGTCTCCCAACGTTCCTCTACGGAGGCATTTGTGTGTCTCGGTGTCCACTGAATTTCCTCAGCCGCCTTCTTCAGTTCACCTATGTTGATTCTCCCATAGCGCCGACGTAACACGATTTCCTTCGGCGCCTTGCTTAGTCTTAGTGTGACCCTTAGGACTACATGATCACTTTTTCCAAGTGGCTCTTCCCACTTAATTTCCTTACCGTCCTGATGGTGCCGCGTTATGATTAAGTCAAGGAGAGACGGGTGCTGTCCACCTCCGTGTCTAGTGGCCTGTGTCACATGCTGCGTAAGTGCATGTAACTGGACCCACTGCAGAAACTTGTCGCCCGTTGATCCCCTTGGTGCGATCCCGCTTTCCCAGTTAATTTCGGGTAGGTTGAGATCCTGTAATAAGATGAACTCCTTTGTCTGTGCCAGCACAGCATCCAGCATTTGGAAGAGCTCAACATTTTCCTCATCTATGGCTAGCGGTGCCCTGTAGATACAGATAATGCATACTGTACGCCCCTCGATCTTAATAAAGCAGGATCTGACCTGTACTTTACCGGAGACTAAGTTGAACGGAGCCTCCTAATGGCCTATGTCGGTCCGTATTAGAAGTGCCACTCCGCCCCCCTGCCTTCCATCAGTTCTATCCTGCCTGTAGGCAGCGTATCTCCGAAAGCACTTGTCAGCTTCTGGCTTTATCCAAGTTTCCGTCAACGCAACGACATCAGACTCTGCGATCCTAGCCGTCAACTCCCCTCTTTTTCCCGGGAGACTGCAGGTGTTGGTGTACCATATTGACGGTTCCCTGGTCCTCGTTACTGACTTCATTGCTAATTCTAGGGCTAGGGTATCCTCGGGCGCAATCTCCGAGGTGATGCCCCGTTTTTTTGCCTCTAAAGGTGTCGGCGGTGCAGCATCTTGCATATCGAGTGAGACTCTGAGTGTCGCGGCTTTTTCTTTTCCACCCGTCGCCCCAGTGTCAGGCTCGACATGCACAAAGGACGTTACCCCCTTTTGAGTCGCCGTACCGATGGGCCGGGATGGTCTTGCGACCACCTTAGCCCAACTGGTTTCCTCGGCTTTTCCCTCTGATACCTCCAACTTGGCTGGGTGCACCAGAGAGGACTTCCTGGGGATATCCTTTAGAATCGGGCTGGCTGGCTGCACGTTCTCAACACCAACCGGACTAAATGCCCTGTGAGTCCCCTTCTTTTTGGTCTTTCGAACTTCCTGATCTTTGGCTTTTTGTATACCGGAGCCTGAAGCCACCTTTGGTACCTGGATTACTCCTTGGGCCTTAGGTGTTGACTTCCCAGGAGGAGTCATCTCCAGTTTCGCTATATGTAGCTTCGGCCTCTTAAGATCAGGTGTGCCCGTTCTCAGCGAGACTATGGCATTAGCCGGTTTCACAAATGCTGGGCTGTCATGTGTAACCCTAACTACTCCCTGCGTGTTGCCCTCAACTGCTCCCGCCCTGGACAGCAGCATATCCCTCCAGTAGACACTGTGGAATACAACTACCAGGGGTCGTGGCGGCGCTGGTTGTGCTCCACGCCATAGTCCTATTCGATGGCACTTGACTATTGGTGTCGTGGGAGGTAGGCCAGCCATCCTAAGAACCTCAGTCACATGCCGGCGGTTTTCCTCCTTCCTGATTCTACCGTCTTTTACAATGTTCTCCCTAAGGTTATGAAGTAGCAGTCTTCTACTTCTGTCTGCCATGACTTCAGTGTCACGCTTCATGCGCTGCACCTCAGCATCTAGGCGTTTGACCTGCTCCTTGAGGGCTTCCACTTCCGTCAGGAGGCTTTTCCCCACGTTGGTGAATCCTGCTACCTCTTTTCCTTCTTTGCCCTTTGGCTTGGGTTGCCTTTTTTATTTTTGTTCTCTGGCACCCGGTTTTCCTTTCCCTCCAGGCTATGGATCGAAACGGCTCTCTCTAGTCTCATTTTAGCGGGGATTCGACGAAATACACTCGGCAGTGGTGGGTGCATAACTGGTATGCATACCATCGAAGGAATTCTGGAAGCTCGATTGGCCGTGGCCATTACCTATCCTGTGCAGACTGAACTGGAGGACTTCCTCTCCCACAGGACGCTTTATGTCAAAGTGGGGGACAGGTGCTCCAGTTTGGTGAACGTCACCAGTGGTGTACCTCAGGGATCCGTCCTAGGCCCGGTCCTATTCTTGTTATTTATTAATGACCTAGCATCCACTCTTCAATCGCCCAGCTTTATTTTTGCGGATGATGTGAAGATTACTGGATCTAAGGGTAGGGCGGACTTGGGCAGGGAAATAGTTACCGTCCTAAACTGGGCATACAAATGGGACTCACCTCTAAACGCTCAAAAAAGCCATTTGTTGTCAAGGGCAACAGAGAGCCTAACTGTCGCTCATGATCAAGGGCTGTTCACCGTAGAGGCAGCCAGTAGGGTTAAAGACCTGGGGATCATCATGAAAAGTGACTTCAAATGGTCGGAGCAGTGCAACGCTGCCGCGCATAGGGCTCGTGGGGAGCTCTTTAGACTGCGATCAGCTTTGTCTTGCCGTCAGCCGTAGGTATTCGTACCTGTTTACACGGCTATAGTAAGACCTCACTTAGAAGGTAGCGTGCAGGCTTGGTCACCCTTCTACAAAAAGGACGCCGCCTCCCTCGAGAAAGTCCAACGTCTCGCCACGCGAATGGTTGAAGGGCAGAGGGGTAAGACTTACGAGCAGAGACTCTGTGACCTGAATCTCTTCTCGTTGGAAAGGAGGAGACGTCGAGGGGATCTCATAGAAACGTTCAGGGTAATGAAGGGCTTTTCTGGCCTTAGACCAGATAGTCTATTCCAAGTCACCGTAGACTCCAGAACAAGGGGACACGAAAAGAAGTTGATAAAAGCCCGATCTAGGTTGATGGCTAGATCGCACTTCTTCAGCAACAGGGTTGTGAACAGTTGGAACGGTCTGCCTGGTGGAATGGTAGATCTGCAGACCGTCCAATCCTTCAAAGGTGCCCTTGATCGCAAGTGGTACGAGATCTTTCCTTGTAGTGAGCCTTAAGAATATCAACTAGATGGATGACGGTAGTACTGTGGTCCTTCTGGAGTATGTTTTAGCAGACTTTTTCCCTCATTGCATACTGTCTCAGTGAACGCTCACGATGCATAATGTCTCTCGCAGTTGATGTGCGATGAGGTTTTCCGTTTCCCTCTCATTTTTAGCGGGGATTCGACGAAATACACTCGGCAGTGGTGGGTGCATAACTGGTGTGCATACCATCGAAGGAATTCTGGACGCTCGATTGGCCGTGGCCATTACCTGTCCTGTGCAGACTGAACTGAACTGAACTGAACTGAACTGAACTGAACTGAGCCGGGGACGGTGTGCCACTACGTTTTGCTGTCTGCATCTGGGCGTGATGGGTTCTTCTCGCGAAGAGCGCATGAGTTTGATGTAAGTTTTGAAGGGTATTGTGTTTTAAATTACCTAAGCCTTTGCTGTAAATGTGGCACATCAATGCGGTCCAATTCGGCGAACACTTGTGTTACGTGTCTGTCAAAGGAGATTGATATAACGAAACATATTGATAGACAGAATACCATTACTTTCTGTCCTAAATGTGAAAGGTGAGTGCCGTTTGCAAATAAATACATACTTAGATATCTCAACCCTCCTTCTCAGTGGGTAGCTGCGGAACCTGAGTCACCGGAATTACTATCAATGTGCATAAAGCGCATCAAGGGACTGAACAAAGGTGTAAGCGTGAAAAGCGCCAAATTTATATGGACTGAACCACACAGCAGAAGACTGAATGTAGAAGTGAGTATTTTCGAGGTCTCAAAAGGAGTTCATCGGAAAACTTGGCGCGCTGCCGCCTAAGTCCTGCGACCCGATTTGATTTGATCACACCCCTTGTAGCAACATCGGTGCAAAATCGCTCCAAAAGCGATCAGTTTTCAGCCGGTTTTCGGTCGGTTTGTTTAGTAGCCATTCTACACGAATCAACACCGAGTTTATACGAAGGAAATTGACGACCGAAGTAATGTGCAATGCTAGGTTGGCGTTTTATCTTAATGTACTACTTTAATTCATCGAAATGTCCTGAAAACCTCGTTATATATCGCCCCATTTTATTCCCTCGAAATGAGTAAAATAAGAGCAATTGATCGGAAAATCATAAATTAGGAGATAGAGATGAGCATCGTGATACGTAGTTTTGGTTAGTGGGAGAAATTAACGAAGCATATCATGTATTTCAAACAATCGGCACAAACCGCTCGGAAACCGTTCAGAAACCGTCCAGGGAACCGGCCTGAAACCACTCAGAAACTGCTCCAAAACCGATCGGCGTAACAGTAAAAACCGCTCGAAAACCGGCCGAAAACGGATCGGTTTCTGAGCGGTTTGTGCCAGTCGCTTGAGGTACATGACATACTTCGTTAATTTCTTCCACTAACCAAAATTACGTATCACGACGCTCATTTGTATCTCTTAACTTGCGTTCTTCCAATTAGTTGTCTTCATTTTACCCATTTCAAGGGAGTAAAATGAGGCGATATGTACCGAGGTTTTCAGAACATTTCGATGAATTAAAGTAATACGTTAAAATAAAATGCAAACCAAGTATTGCACATTACTTCGGTCGTCAATTTCCTTCGTATAAATTCGATGTTGATCCGTGTAAAATGGCTACTGAACAAACCCACCGTAAACCGATGTTACGAACAGGCTGGGTGCTACAAGGATCCATGTTTAATTTCCGTGTTTCTTGGTTGGAATCATAATCGGAATTACCCCTAGTTGGCCTGCACGTCACTAAAGTAGAGAGTCTCACGCTCCGCATTGCCACGAGTCAGCATTAATTCATTCTGTAGATGATCGTTCTTAATAAAACTGGCAAATTTGACAACTCGACCTGGACAAGACAGTCATGGATATAGTAGTAGACATATCCTCACCACCCCTGGAGAACGAATGCCCCCTTGACGGCCATATAGATGTCCCTTTGGCCGTACCACTGGGTGACACCCAGTGGGATAAGTAAGAGAACGCTCCAGGGTCTGTCAGAGAATAACCGTAAAAACGCACCCTCAGGCATCAAAATAAAAGGGGTTTCCTCGAAATATCGACTGTTGTAGACTTAGTTCTGATGATTTGTATCCATCTAAAACATGTAGTTCATGTGTCTCCAAGGATGGTAGTAAGGTCAGGTAGCAAGTTCTCCTGTGATGCCTACAGTTTACTGATTGACGCTACCACACATTTGTTGCATCAAATTCCAGTCACGTCATGTCAGTTCAGGTTTCACAAGACTGATAGTGGCCGGGGCCAATCGAGCGTCCAGAATTCTCAGCGATATGCACAGATCGGGACCCACCACTGAGACATTGTTTGGCTGAACAAGAAAAAGAGTAGAAACACTTGTCACATTCCAGGCCAGAAACGACCATGACATGTGCGTTCCATCACACTTAGTGCTCCAGTTTGTAGGCACGGACACAGGATAACTGAAAGGCCTTGAGTAAATTACGATTTCTAATTCTGAGTAACTCATCCCACATATCATCCAGTATCCTTTTAAAATGCCTTACACCTTGTACACTGGACATCTCTTCAGTTAACCTATTCCACATTCCCACTACCTCACTGCTCGCACATTTAGCCTAGAGCTTGGATTCCACAATTTCGTGTTGTTGTCTCGTTCTCTGATCAATGGCTTGTTCAAATATATCCTCGGCACTTATTCCCGATAAACTCTAGGATTTTAAACGCTCCGATAAGGTCTCTGAGTCTTCTTTTTATGTGAGAAGAGTCCCCATATCCTACAGTCTTTGTTCATGACTTTCCTTGATGTCCTTCAACCATCCGAGCGGTTAGTTGCTGCGTCCTTTTTCAAAAAGGTGCCCGGGCCTGCACAGAATGTCATCAAATCGGCCTCACCGCTGCCTTGTACATAGGTATAAACACTTCCACCGGTCTGCAAGAAAGTGCTGAGCGCAGCCGAAAAGCTCACCTCTTGCCTTGTGAGAAGCTAACTTGCACTGTTCAGAACGCAATTTTGACACCGAAGTCCCTTGTTGACTGTGTCGCCTCAGTTGTGAATGGTCCATTTCCCCCCATGACCGTTAATCCCACTCAAGATGTGGTTGGCAGATAACTCCTGCTTTCTTTTGAGGGCGTATCCCATTTGTTTGTCCAGTCAACCACCTGCGTCCGGTCCCTTGTTATGTCATTGTGGTCTCCTGATCCCACAAACTTGACATCGTCTGCACTAAAGAAACATGATTGTGATAAATATTTCGCGTGATGAGCAAGCTCTCGAGAAAGAGGCTGGGTTTCGAACCAGTCGTGGACGCGCCGATCAAATTTTCACCCTTCGACAGCTGTTAGAGCACCGTTACGCCTCCCTCAGACCGACGACCTTTGTTTCTAGACATTCGTGCGGCCTTTGACTCCGTCAATAGGTCTGCACTGTGTCACTCTTTGTTAAGAAATGGTGTACCCTAGAAGCGTGTCGGTCCTCAAAGAGTTGTTTCGTCATACCTGAGGTCGGATTAGGGCTTAGCAGACGACAGTTACCACCTCTATCATAGTGGACCCACGGACAGTTCTGGTCTCCATGGCGTCGCGATAGCTGTTAGCAACAAGGCTAACAAAACACTGCTTTCATTGAACCCGATATCCCCTCGGATCGCCTTAGCTCGTTTTCACGCCTCACCCTTGAACGTACCGGTTGTTGCGGTCTATGCCCCGACGGTTGCAGCCGAAGAAGCGGCAAAGGACGAATTCTACGATAGGCTACAAGAGGTGATAAACAGCGTCCCGAAACGACATTCTCCTGGTTACAGGGGACTGAAACGCCCGCACTGGTCCCTCTACCCAAGCAACTAGACACATTTTAAGGAAATATGGTCTCGGACGGCAGTGCAGCAATGATGAGCGCCTCGTCAACTTTGTATACTTCAATAGCCTGACCGTCACCAAACCCGCTTCTAACATCCCAAGAAGCACTTGCTATCATGGTACTCCAACGAAGGTCACACAGCACATCAGACCGACTACATTCTCATACGATCACGCTGGTCATCTTTGATTGAAGCTTGTCGTTCCTACGGAGGCGCGGAGACTGGTAACAAGAATTGCACTGACCACACCCTCGTCCGTGCACGCTTCAAGATTCACCTAGCCAATCAGCGCAAAAACTGTGCTCCGAAGTGGATTAACACAGCAGCGTTAGGATCACCGAGAAAGCGTCAAGCGGTTTCGGCCGCTACTGCCTTTCATTCAGCCACCACGTTCATAGGAGGAGAGGAAGTACACGTGGAAAACCAGTGGATTTCACTTAAGGCATCGATTCAACGATACGCCTCAGATGAACTGGGATTTACGCAACGATGACAGAAGGATTGGATCTCAAGGACGATTCTCCAGTTAACCGAAAAGGCTAGAAATGTCCACCCAAATGGCCACCCAGACTTCCGCGATATCCGACGGAAAGCCACCCGTTCGGCCAAAAGCGACTGCAACAACAATGGGACCGAAATCAGGGAAACCGTGAAGACTGCGGCCAACTGCGCAGACCCCCCAAAGCTCTTCCGTCTAATCCGCACTGCATCCGGTAAGCGAAAGTCGACAGAAAGCATCCGTCGCGATGCTGCCGGGCTGCTCATTCCTGAACTGGCCCAAAAGATGCAGTGATGGACTGTGCACTTTTTTCCGTGGCAAGCTCTATGCACCGAATCCCAGCAATCCAGAATGAGGGCTATGACGTTAATAACAGCCCACCAAGCCGGGATGAAATCTCCGATGTGATACTCAAGCTGAAGAATCGGAAATCCCCTGAAGAAGATGGTATCGCACCGGAGATATATAAATCATGTCTTTCGACACCACTCGGGCCACTTCACACTCTGTTTTGTTTAATCTGGGAAAATAATTCCCAACAGACTGGGGGACCTCGGTTCCACTTCCTCTCCCAAAGAGAGGCGACAGGACTGTGTGCAAAAAATACCGTGGCATCTGTTTAATCGACGTGGCCACTTAAATATTCCCCGTGCTTTTGTTAAACCGCTTCTCGGCGGTACGAGACTCAAGCACGCGCCCCAATGAAGGAGGCTTCCGCCGTGGCAGAGGGTGCGTAGATCAAATATTCACCCTCCACCGATAATTGGAACATCGGTACAAGTCTCAGCAACCATCTACAGCTTGTTTTATTGGTTTTCGGACTGCCCTTGACTCAATTGACAGGGGATCGTTATGGACTACACAACAGGCGGATGGAATGTCCCAGAAGCTTCTCAGTCTCATGAGGTCGTACTGCACAAATACCCGCGCGAGAATACGCATCTACGCAGAGGAGTCCAATGACTTCTCCCTCAGCTCCGGTTTTAGACAAGAATGTCCCCTGTCGCCAGTACCGTTCAACTACATCATCGATTGGATAATTCGTCAGGCGCTCACCGATTACCCTGGTATTCAGCTGGACACCGATGCTTTCCTCGCCGATCTAGAATTTGTAGACGACATCATCATCCTTAAAGACAGCCCAACTGCATTACAGCTGGTTCTCAATCGCATAGAATCTTTTGCGAAATCCATGGGACTAGAGATCAATACCTCGAAGACCTAGGTCCTTTCGACATGCACTGCATAGTCCATTCTCCCGATATACTTGAACGGCGAATAAACTGAACACATCGCGAAGATCAAATATCTGACCTGTACGATTCTCTCAAACAGTCAAGCCAAGGATGAAGTCAAGTCGCGTATTGACAAGGCCAGGTCTGCGTTTCTTCAGCTTCGCGGCGTACTCTGGCTGC